ATCTTGGCTGATCTCTTCAGAACCTTCTAGTCCAGCAGTTCTCAAACTATTATGCATCTGGATCAATTCGGACACTAGTTAAAAAGGTAGATCCCTCAGACATTTTGATTTAGTAGGTCTGAGATAGGGCTTAGGTTTCTGCATTATTTTTTTTTTAAGTAGGCATCCCAGGTGATTAATTATCAGTCGATAGAAAACCACACTTTGAAAAACACTTGTCTAACCTTCTAAGATCTTGAAGATTTGTTGCTAAAATGTTTTAAGAAAATATCAAGATCTTTAATAACTCCAGGTTCCCTTTGTTAAATGACGTGCGGCCAGTGGTGGAGTCCCACAGTCCATAAGCTGCTGTGACTGAACACTCTGAGTAGGGAAAGTATGGCATGCTGATTAAGGACACAGGTTTTAGCACTGAACTAGTCTGGGTCCAAATCCAGTCTCTGCCACTTACTAACTAAGTAATTTCAGGCCAATGTTTTGCCTCTCTGTGCCTCAGTCTCCTCATTTGTTGAGTGGGGATAATAATAATATCTGCCTCATAAAGTTAATACATGAGAAGCTTTTAGCAACCACTCAAAGGGCAGCTTAGATTATTACTGCTCTCTTTTTCTGGATTGCTTAGGAGAGGGTTCCCTTTGCTCAAGATCAATCCTCTAAAGATTTTAAAGCAACCAGAGTGACCAACTGTCCCTGTTTGCCTGGGACTGGGTAAATTTCCCAGGACGCAGGACTTTCAGTGCTAAAGCAGGGACAATCCCAGACAAACCGGGATGGTTGTTCCCTCTAAAGGCAGATCTCTCTGAAGCTCAAGTACTTACTTACATACATTATTTTTACTGGGAAACAGCAGCTATAAGCCTCAGCTAATTCATCAAGGAATATTTGCTACAGGGTATCTGAGAGGCTCCATGTCTATCAGCCACTCCAGCTAAAATTGGAGAGAAATGTATGGGACGGAGCACATTTCTAGGCTCCCTGGAATTTCGTATGTCTGGATTGTGCCTAGTTCTACTGTATGTATTTCTTCATTAGGTGATACATTTCTTTTTGAAAATATGCAAGTGCACAAACAACAACAAAAATAAAACAAATATGCAGGTGCATATTAACAGGACTGTAGCAGTCTTAAAATGCTATTTGGTGGCTCGGTAAATGTTGGCTGAATGAATAAATGACTACAGAGTGAAATGTCTTGATTTGGATGTTTCAGAGACTTGATTTATTAAATCGAGAGATATATTTTGAAAGCCATACCCTTCCCAGACTGCAATTTCTTCCCTTGCACAGCACTAATTCTCTTTCAATGCAGCTTCCCAGAATACAAGGCAATCACATTACCCTGGTGAGAAGGCTTTTGGGATACTTATATAAAGAGTATTCATGGAGTTTTTGAATCTGGCCATCAAGTCATCTGAGATACATATACATAAACATGAGCATATACATCTATATGTATGTTGTTGTTATTAGTTGCTGTAGAGTCGACTCTGACTCATGGTGATCCCACGTGTGCAGAGCAGAGCTACTCCATAGGGTTTTCAAGGTTACGACCTTTCAGAAGCAGATTGCCAGGGCTGTCTTCTGAATTGCCTCTGGATAAGTTCAAACCACCAAACTTTCATCAGATAGTGGAGTGCTTAACTGTTTGTGCCACCCAGGGACTCCAAGTATATATAGACATATGCATATATATCCTTCAACAACAGAGCAATACCAGGCTAAAGTCATACATTGCACCCAGCTATGTTCCAGATGGAACTTGACCTTTGCGCTGTACGCACTTTGTGGGATAGTGCTTTGGACCTGTTAGAAGGTTGGGGCTGAGAGTCTAATCGGCCTTTCTTAAAGTCCCACTGTGTTTTCTGAGACTGTAAGGATTGTCATCCTCCATTCGCCACTAGATGGCCTATCACTCAAAAAAAAAAAATTCCTTCATTCAAAAAAGGTTTATTGAACAAGGTTCTCACAGTCATCTGAGTATTGCCATCATGATTTTTAGCTATTTCATAGCATGCTACCATATAATTTTTTCATATTTTTCTTTAAAGTGGTTTATTTTTAAACTTAAGTATGCCAATTTTAGAAGTAAACTGGAAGATGAGAAAATAGAATGGCCCCAGAGAGGAAGAGCTGCAGGCAGGGTTAATGGGAAAGGATAATGAATCTGGATCTGGTGATCCAGGGCTGGGGCGGGGGGTGGACAAGATCAATAGCAGGCAGAAAGACAGAGGGGACAAATCTCAAAACTATAACGCAAAAGCTGAGCCGGAGATAGGGTGGAGGACAGCATGGAACCTAGGGCATGGGGAGGGAATAATAATAAAGACAGAGGGACTAATACAGAAAAGTTGACTTAAGAAGTTGTGTATAAGATGAGGCTACAATTGAGGTAAGTGAGTTAGGGGCTGAAAGAAAGGTGAGGGGTTGAGGGCTGAGAGGATGAGAAGGATAAAGAAGTCTATGAGATACTCTTGGTTGCTTGCTTAGTTCCCATCTCCGCTTCCCTTTCTTCCTTCCTTTGGGCCACATTGGGAAATACTGTTCTGTAACCAAGTCCCAAATTGTGGCCCAATAGACCACAGACTTACCGTGCGTTACCTACAAACTTTGTGATCATATGTGTTTTGGAATTCAGCATGTGCCAGACATTAGGTAACATACCAGTGTGATCTGGGGCAACACCCCATAATCAAGCACATTAATATATCTGCAGTGAAACATATGATTTGTTATACTTAATGGGATAAGTGAAGATTATGAAATAGTTTGAAGTCAGTTCAGATCAAGTTTTGCAACTGTATCAGTCAGGGTTTTCCAGAGAATTGTTCACATGATTGTGGGGCTAGCCAGTCTAAAACCTGGAGGGCAGGCTGGCAGGCTGGAAACTCAGGTAGGATTTGCTGCTGCAGTCTTGAGGCAGAATTCCTTCTTCTCAGGGAAACCTCAGGTTTTGCTCTTAAGGCCTTCAATTGATTGGATGAGGCCAACCCACAGTATCAAGAGTAATCACCTTTACTTAAAGTCAACTGATTATAATGTTAACCACATCTACAAAATACTTTCACAGCAACACCTAGATCAGTGTTTGATTAAATAACTGGGTACTATAGCCTAACTCGATACAAAGGACTAACCATCACAACCACCAAAAGAATTTTGTTGCCAAACTTAAAAAACAGAAAACTCACCTCTTCATTTTCAGAGCCTTTGGGCTGCACATACTGTTTACGTCTTACTTTGGAAGCTAGGTCATGGGTACATGAGTGTTTGTCGTGTCCATGAGTAAGAATGCGTACTCTGTTAAAAATAAAAGCAAAGAGATTTATTGAAGGTTCAAGACAGTTCCAACTGGGGACCCATCTGGTCTCAAAACTGAAACCAAAAGCTCCAAAATGGTGGAGCCACAGAGGCATCAAGATTAGGTAAGCAGCAGGCGCGACAACTCGAAGCTTGGGACTTATAGTGACTGGTTGGAAACATGAATGTGGGCTCTTTACAGTGGTTGGTTGCAAACACCAATGTGGGCTGTTTAGATTGGTTAGTTTAAATACATGACTCAGGGGGGTTTTATAGGATGGTCACAAGGTAAGTATCTTAAAACATTTCCTGAGGGCTGCTGAGGCGATTCCTGATAAGCGTCTTGTGTCAAGATCCTCCCTTCCGAACATTCTTTCCATATCTTTAGTTTAAACACAGAGAAAAACGTTTCTTTTGTTATGTATACTTAAGTCACTCTAAGGGTTTGACAGTTGCAGGGGAAATCCTTTGCTATGTGCTTAAGTCTGACTAACGGTTTGACAGTTGCAGGGGAAATAAGCAAAAGCTAAGATGAAGTCAGGGCTCAGACCTGGGCCGATCATTCTGATACAAGTCAGGCACCTCAGTTTTGGAACTGTCACACAGTCATACTACTGTTTGTATCTTTTTGTATGTCAGAAATATTATTTTTTTAAAAATAATATTCTATTGTGTTTCTGGTGAAAGTTTACACAGCAAATTAGGTTCCCATTTGACAATTCCAACACCTATTATTCAGTGACATTAGTTACATTTTCCACAATGTGTCAGCATTCTCTCTAATTGTGTTTTGGTTGTTCCATTTCCAGTACTCTAGTTTCCCTCCCCATTTATCTTCTCATCTTTGCTTTAGAGCAATTGTTGACCTTTCGATCTCATACTGATAGTTTTTTAATGGAATACCGTACTCACGGGTAATATCCTTTATTTTGTGTGCCAATCTGTTGTTTCACTAAAAGGTACCTCAAAGGATAGTTTTGGTTCAAGGTTTAAAGAGTATCTCCGGGCAATACTCTCAGGAAATCCTCTAGTCTCAACTGGTCCAGTAAGTCTTGACTTTTTAAGAATTTGAGTTCTGCTTCATATTTTTTCCCAATTGTACATGTATAAATTTTTGAAATGGTGTATCTTTGGCTATGTATATTTTCACCAAAAAAAAAAGAGTCCTCCAAGGCCGAGAAGGGAGAGTGTTGACATGTTGTGGTGTTGTTAACCAATGTCATAAAACAATATGTGTGCTGTTTAATGAGAAAATATTGGTTCTGTAAACCTTCACCTAAAGTACAATAAAAAAATAAATAAATTAAACCTTAAAAAAAAAAAAAGAATTTGAGTTCTGTTTCATATTTTCTCCCAATCTATCAGAGTCTATCTATTGTGGCCCCGATTAGAACAGTTGATAGTGGTATCCTGGCACCATCTTGTTCTTCTGGTCGCAGGGCAGATGAGGCTGTGGCTTGTGCAGGCTATTAGCCCTGTAGACTACTTTCTTCTCTGAGACTTTGGTTTCCTTTGAAATATTAATTTTTTAAAGCTTTGAATTACATAGGCCTGTGTATGTTCTGAGAGGGCACATGATACAGTAGTAGGTTCACTGTTGTTGTGAGCTGCTGTGGAGTCGACCCGTCTTCCTAGTCTGTCTGCTCAACATCATAGCAACACACAAGCCTCCACTGACAGGCGGGTGGAGGCTGCACATGAGATGCATTGGCCGGGAATCAAACCCGGGTCTCTCGCATAGAAGGTGAGAATTCTACCACTGAGCTACCAATGCCCCTCTACTAGATTCATAGTAGGCTTAATAAATACTTTTGTTGAATTGAATCAACTTGATTTAGCCCTCCCACACTCGTTGTTTGTTATCCCTGCCTTAAAAAAAAAACAACAGACGCTCTGCTTGTTAGGGAGGTTAGTTTGGTTATAAATATAAACACTAAGAGCTAAGCTGGAACAAGGGCTGGCCCTAGGCAGCATTCATTCATTTCTTTAATCATTAATTCAACAAATATTTATTGAGGACTACTATGAACCTAGCACTGCACTAGAAGCTGAGAAGCCGTGGAAGGCACCAGGTAAATAAAATTCCATATCTGGCATTAAGAAATTCAGAGTCTGTTGGAGGGGATGAGCTGCATACACCTTTCTGTGATTTAATGGGCCAAGTGCCACAGCAAAGGCAATGAGAGCTCCAAGCAGATGTGCTCTCTGCCAGGCATATGGACGCCGGTACATGCCTAGAAATCTTAATAGAGGAACTGGGATTGCCATGTTCTCCACACTGCTACCATCTAAAATGGCAATCCACAGTCACTACTCCCTAATATATGGAGACTTCAGTCTTCATAAAATTAGATATTTGGGTACCTACAGCTTCCTATGTACCCAAGAAGGAGAGCAATGGAAGAATGGTTAGCTATCTTCCAGCACTTAATGAGTATCATCTTGGATGGTCCCCTGGAGCAAGGAGTCACAGTCTCCTGGATGATATTCTAAAACATTTCCCGACCCAGTAGTCCCTGTCCTAGATAGTCCTACCCCTGTAATCTACCTCCTCAAAAAGAGGA